ATACCAAACGAGTTAGCGAAATTTCTTCGTCTGGGCCGGGTGATCTTCACTCGCTTGAGATAAAGTTTGAAGGCGAAATGAAAAAGGCTGCGTTTCTTGAGTTAAATGAATATATACACAAGAATCTCACCAATGTGGCCGCCACCATTCCTCTCAAGAAGGTCGAAGAATACCAGAAAAAACTGCGTGACCTGCCCACCCGTTTTGAACAAGAACTGCTCGACGTCGCCTTTTCCGCTGCCGTGATGGACACGGACAAAATGGAATTGGACAGAGAACACTGGACCCCTACCAGTGAAATCACTAAGGACGTTGCTAGCAATGTTCTGGCGCTGAAGAACTATGTCATATTTTTAAAAAACAAAGCTGCGACACCTAAAGAGGTAACTAGCTTTTTAGAAGATATAGTCAATTGTTTCATTTGATGGTGCTTTTTTATTGTCGTGAATATGATATTGATGAAAATACTTTAGGCCCCCCTCAAAAGAAAATTCTATTATTTCTTTGGTAAGGCCAATATTAGTAATCACCTTAATTGTTCTTTATGTAAAGAAATTTAATAAGAGTTTGATAGTTTTGTTTGAAACTTTAATTCTTTGAAGTATCTTTTCTAGTATTTCTAAGTTAACTATATTATATGTTTTTGTTATATCTTGAAAAAGAATTCAGAATTTCTTGTTCTTCTCTCTGACTTCTTTGCTAATATTATTTAGTAAGTGAATTGGTTCTGATATACTTTCTCCTGAGAGTTATATAAAGTTGGGTTCTTTAAGTATTTTATATTTTTTGCAAACAAGTAATAGGCAGTTATTAAAAATTTTAATAAAGCATTTACAAGTTGTCTCAAGAAGGTTTATAGGTCTAGTGTTATTGAATTTGCCTTATCATTTTTTTTTTTTGGAGATTGGATATAATAAATTGTTTTTTTAAATCATCGGTATTATTTCAGAGCTAAGAAAAAAGTTAAAAAGATTAAGAAAAGTTTTTTTAGCTACAGAATCTAGTTTTTCAAGCATTTTATATTTTATTTTGAATAGACCTGCTGCCTTATTGTTAGGCAGATCAAGAAGAACTTCTTCCAGTTCACTTGGCTAGATTTCTTTTTCCATTGTATTATACCATTCTTTTTGAATTTTGGATTTGGATTTGTATTGTTTCTTTCATTGATTATCAAGAAGATTAAAATTGCTATTGCACTTGTGAAATGTCTGTTAATAGTAAATTTCTGTTTGATTTAAGATTTTTTCTTTGTTAATAGTGAGATATTTACAATTGTTTTTATCTATTATTTTAATTCTATTAATTGTGTTTTTGTTTTTAAAGTTATTTGTTAGTGTTTGAACTACCCTTCTTTGTTTGCTTCTGTGAAAGGGAAATTGCATGGTCATATAAGTCTATGCAATGATGATCCTAAAAATGACAAATCTGAAAAAAATGAGATATCTATAATATATTTCTTTTATTTGATTTCTTTGATTTCTTTGATTTATTTAAGATATTTGATATAGTTGA